ATCCCTTCCAACACCAGTAGGACTCCTGAACATGTGTTTGTACTGCTGGTCGTCGGGGACACATAAGTATAAGATTGCATTGCGAGGGAGGTCTCCACTTGGATTGGAAGCTGGGGTCAAGAGACACGAGTAGTCAGAGTGCATTCACTGTCACAGCTGTGCTTCAACATCGGAGGACCAGCCACAAGACGGTCATCAGCAGGACTTCCGACTGTGTGTGTGTGTGTTTGCGTTCATGTCATGTTGACTGTCAAGTTCCACAAACACCTGACGTTCACAGGATCCCTGATGGGAGCTGCAACAATGGGGTCGTGACCGTGACCTCCAGCAAGAGTCGGTCGCCTGTTTTTTCTGTCGTGTCGTCGTTTGCGACAGCGCTTGCGGGACCGACAGTCGCAGAAGACGGGGCAGCTTCGGTTTAGATTTGTTTGGAATAAGTTAAGTCAGTCAGTCAAGTCTTAATATACCGACTTAGTCAATGAAACTATGCAACACTTCTCATTGAGTTGCCATTAATGGACACATTCAGAATTCAGCTCTTCAAATGAGAACCTACCATGGCCGGTCCCGTCTTCAGCTCGAATCGACTCGGATCAGAGCAGAAACCGACGGTCGTGCAATGATGGCAAAACAAGTGCAGCTCATGCATCATGGGTGCCACCTCATTTGTTTACAGCAATGATGCATTTTCCCGTGGACAGGCTTTCGGCAACATCTTCATGACCTGCCACATCCCTGGATGCAGTGGGTGTTCCGGTATTTACCTGTCTACTTTTTGCTCCAAGGCGAGAGCTTCACATGGGGCCGGTCAGTGTCCCGCATGAGGCGGATTCGTGAGGTGTAATCATAAATAAATCAGACCGATGGACAGACCACCGACGTGGCAGGCCGGCCCGGCGACGAGTCGGTCGTCCAGCACTAAGTCAACGTTTCATCTGAGGATCACAGAGCCAAGTCAAGATGCATTGTTTGGCACCTTGAGCCAGGCTAGCCGAGGCCATCGGGGGATCTCGTCAAAATGACAAGATCCCCCAATGGCCTCGGCTGAGCGACGGTCTGACACAGTCCAGGAGGACTGCTGGGTTTGATGCTTTGATTCACAAAGGTTCCAGTGCAGTTCACGCTTGTCCTTTTTAGAAATAATAGACAGAGCCCTATAAGTTTACCTATATCCCTTAGTAGGAATTAATTATTCAAGAAGGTCTACTAGCCGGTCTGTTCTGTTTATTCTTTCTGGGGGAAACCATGAACATGGATAATGCTGGTGCAGTTCAGGTGCAGTTGAGGTGCAGTTCAGGTGCAGTTCAGCGTTCGTGCTATTATAGATTGGTGCAGTTCAGGTGCAGTTCAGGTGCAGTTCAGGTGTGGTGATGCTGCACAACCATATGTGAGGTATACAAATCATAAAATAGTAAAAGGTATGCTGTATTACACAAAAAAGACACGAATGAACTTACCAGGATCTCTGGTCTGGTCAGAGTAAGACTACTTGGCCGGTCCCTGCCCATAGCATCACACAGTTTTGGCTTAAATACATCGGCTCTAGTGATAGTGACAGTCACTATCTTGCAACATATATATATATATATTTAAGCCAAGGTGCTCCGATTGATCCATAAAGCTTCTCTGCCACATCTTGGCGACACCTGGTCAGGAAGTGTTGCCGGTCGAGCTCCTCGGGTGCTCTGGGAGGCATAGACCTGGATTGAAATTTTCAGTCCAGGTCTATCACCTCCCAGACCACCCAATCTAAATCTTCATGGCTCAGGGTACAGGCCTCAGTGTCGGTCAGCATTCAATAATGCTGGACACTGCTGTAATGATTGACTTAGCAACACCTGGTCAGGAAGTGTTGCCGGTCGAGGAGAGCTATCGACAGGTGTCCTCAACCCTTCGTCGGCACCGCTCAGCCAGTCGACTACGACTGGCTGAGTGGCGCCGACGAAGGGTTGAGGAGCTCCTTGGATGCTCTGGGAGGTCGGGCTCCTGTAGCAGTAACAGGTCCATGCCAATTTGAGATCCCAGTCACCTTAAGTATTGAGGTCCAGGCAGAAGCAGATCTACTTTCTTTGCCGGTGGTGTTCTCAGACACATGCGTGGGCAGTGTACTTTCGAAAGTGTTATGTGTGTGTTCGCTCAAGGTCTATCACCTCCCAGACCACCCAATGTAAATCTTCATGGCTCAGGGTACAGGCCTCAGTGTCGATCAGCATTCAATAATGCTGGACACTGCTGTAATGATTGACTTAGCAACACCTGGTCAGGAAGTGTTGCCGGTCGAGGAGAGCTACCGACAGGTGTCCTCAACCCTTCGTCGGCACCGCTCAGCCAGTCGAACTACGACTGGCTGAGTGGCGCCGACGAAGGGTTGAGGAGCTCCTTGGATGCTCTGGGAGGTCGGGCTCCTGTAGCAGTAACAGGTCCATGCCAATTTGAGATCCCAGTCACCTTAAGTATTGAGGTCCAGACAGAAGCAGATCTACTTTCCTTGCCGGTGGTGTTCTCAGACACATGCGTGGGCAGCGTGCTTTGGATACTGTAACTAGCTATGACTTCATGATTCATATTTGCCAAGGTCGGTCGCCTACCATCACCATCTGGTCAGACACCATAGAACTGGACTCCAGCTCTATGATGTCTGATCAGCGGGTGCCGGTTGGCCTGGTCCTCATTGGTTACCTGCAGTTGTTGGGCACAGTCACAGTCGGTCTATGTCTATGATGCCTGCCATGCCACAAAGCAATTTCAGCTTCACGAGACTTGCCGGCCCCACTCCCCGTCGCTATGGCCAAGACAGGTTATGTCGGACTGTCGGTCGACCAGTGGGAGCACTGGCTCTGGAACCCAGTTCCCGACGTCCAGGCCTATTTCTCCCCATCGGTCGCTGTCTATAAGGCTATCGCTGGTGTCGGTCGCAGGTGCCTTGCTGCTGTGTTTCAGTTCATTTATCATGACCAGCGAGGATGCAGTAGTGTAGGTCGTCCTTAGTTCTGAACTGCCCGGTCGGTCAGGATGCAATACCAGCTTTCCGACACGGATCCCATTCCGGGGCCGATGTACCAACGGTCGAAGCACAAGGAGCAGGCCCATCGTGTTTCGGCTGGGGGCACAATCATGTGTGTTACTGATAACGCCGGTCGGGAAGATGAGGTCAAACTTCTGTTGACCCGGTTCGTGGTCGTGCTGGAAGTGCAGGTCGATGAGTTCCAACTGGCTATGGAACAAGGGTCGGTCAGACCATGCACCAACGACGGCTTCGTCGTGAGGAACCTCGACTTGTCGGTCGAGAAGCACCTCAAAGTCACACGCATGGACGCCCGCCTCGAGGTGGAGGCGTTGCCAAGTGACGTGCCGGTCGACAAGCCTGCTTTCGTGTTCTACAAGATCTCCGATGATGTGACGGAGCTGTCGGTCGTGAAGAAGCTGCTGGCCAACAGCATCAACAAGCCCCGAGGGCAAAAGCGGCCTTCCTCCACAGTCGGTCGGGGTGGCACTGGATATATGTATTTCAGTAACCCGACGAAGGCTGCGCTGATGTGTTGGCTGGCAGGTGGCGGCACGGCGGTCGATGTGCGGCTGAGCTACTATGGAGTGGGCATGCTTCCAGCTGGACTCCTTCACTATGATGAAAGCATGTCGCCGGTCTGTGTGCTTTGGTGGCATTCGATTCAGTGATGTTGCAGTTGCATGATTTCTAATCCTGCAGTTGCAATCTACAGCATAAGCTGTCTGCTCAGGACTACTACTACGCGCCGACGCTTCCCCAGATGGGCGTTGAGTCGGTCGCCGCGGAGTACAAGGTCATGGTTCAGTTCAGCAACAAGGTGCCGGTCGGTGACTTCGTGAAGTTAAAGAACCTCGAGACGCTGAAAGAATACATGTACCAGAACGATAAAGAGTTGGAGGAGCTGAACAGTCGGTCGTCAACTCTGCTCGCGATACAGAAGAAGCTGGTCGCAGAAATGGATGAGATGCTCGCCAAAGAGTCGGTCGTGGATCTGGCGGGCAAGACAACGGTGTCGGTCGAGGATCTGGCGGGCAAGACAAAGCAGCCACTCGTCATGGAGTCGGTCGAGGAAGATGTTGCAGGCAAGACAAAGCAGCCGCTCGTCATGGACCAGGTCGCTGAGTCTAGCTGATGTCCACCACGCCGGTCGAGTCAAAGGCCTTTTTCCTCACTCTAGCAGGCAGGCTGGCCCTGGCAGTTGTCGGTCAAATAATGACAGACCATCATGATCATGACGATAGTGTTTTCTGAATGCCAGATGCAGCCTGTCCTGCCAGCTGTCGGCCATGCCATGTGTGCATAGAGCCACAGTCGTCTGTCGGTTTCAGCAGCCAGCGAGACATGTGTTTAAAATGTGAAGCACGTGAGAGGGCATGCCAGTCGACTTAGTGTTCGAGATTGAGTGCAGCATACCTGACTTTGTTTGTTACCTGTTGGTTCTGTCATGTAGTCAAGTTGTTGACTTGGTAGCACAATGCATGCCAGCCTGGCGGTCCATGGTGCATTCCAGCGCATGGCACATGCTTTGGAATCCACTCTGGGCTGCATTTGGTTCGGAACCCCCAGGATCGGTTGCTAAGGCTTGTAGCCCCAAGTTACCAGTTCAGACATCGGTCGACAGCCCGAGCCAGAGATGACCTCCAAGGTTGAATACATGCCTTCACTAAGTTGAACCCAAAGGATGCTTTGCTAAGGCTTGTGGTCCTATCTTGGGGGTTAAAGTCGGTCTAGTGCTGCATCGTCCTAGGTCGGTCCCACTCTGACACATATGTTGCAGCACCTTAGCCGGTCGTGCATGCTCTTCCAGTTGAACCAGCAGAATAGGTTGCTAAGCCTTGTGGGCCTATCTTGTGGGTTCAACATCGGCAGGCCGGTCGATGATCTTGGAAGCACATCTCTGAGTGTCGGTCGTGCCGTTGCCTACCTGGAGTTTGGGCTTACAAGCCTTAGCAACCGATCCTCGGGGTTCCGAACCAAGTCGGCCGGTCGAGCCATGTCCAAGAAAGCAGGCACTCCTGCTTACGCGCCGGTCTACGTGGAGAGCAAGCTCTTAAAGCTTGACGACGTGTCGGTCGCCCATGATTCCGGCCATCGGGACGTCGATGAGGATCGTGTCCTGGAGTTGTATGAGAAGGTGATTTTGGCCGGTCGTTGGGGCCAGGCTTCGTTGTCCCGACCGAAGCTGAGGCCAGTCGAAAAGTTTATTTTCTCGTGCTTGGTAGTTCACTCTTGGGTTTCGCAGGTATGATCCTGCTGGTCGTCCTATGGCCGCATCTGATGGCCGGTCGAAGCTGGCAGATGGCAAGCACTGTATCGCAGCGTTGAAGATACTTGACGACGTGTAGTTTGTCGGTCCAATTCCACGTTCCGGTGTGCACTGGTTTGTCAGCTGGTCAGAAAAGAGTCGGTCGAAGTCCACGGTTTTCATTTCCCTTAATTTTAAATTACTTTCTGACCGAGGAAAGCTGCTGAGACGGTCGCTCAGTCCGATGATGCAACGCAGCTCGAGTGGTACACAGGTGAGATCAAGGACATTCTGACGGTCGGAATGCGTTTTGATTGCATCAAATTCTCGGATGATGATGAGGCCAGGGATGTGCAGTATGACTAGACACTCATGACGGTCACTAGTTACTCCTGTGTCAGGCGGCGGTCAAGCTCTTCTACACCATGGCCCATGAGCAGGAGGCCAACAAGTTGCGGACGACGTCGGTCGAGCACAAGATCAAACTTGTGCGTGCTTATGTCGCCAAAGTTCCTGGCGGTCTGATAAAGGACAGTCGGTCGACCACCTGTTTTTGTTGCTGGCCCTGAGTCTCATCTGTCAGGACGCCGAGAACGCCATGGTGGAAATTTTGGGCAAGTCACGCCGGTCAACAATCCACAACTGGTGCAAAGCGACTGCAGTGTTAAAAGAGCCGGTCCTGATCAAGCTGAAGGAGAAGCCCGACCTGCCATAGGGACTTGTTTTCACGAACAAGTACTTCGTCGGTCAAGGAGAAGAGACACGTAACTCGGCGGCATGCCATGCTGTTAGGTTTTCCTGCATTGTTGGTCGCGGAATGCAGTTGGCTCAGGCTTCCTCCTGGAACCCGAGCAGCAGATTGCTGCTCTGCAGCTTTTCTATGACTTCTGTGACGGTCGCGGGACGGTCTCTTCCATACCGACCTTCATGTCTGACTTTTGTGCCCCAATGTTGAAGGCACAGTTGTGGTGTCAGTTGGTCATGAAGAAGTACTCGTCGGTCGTGAGCCGCCTACCAGCGTATGACCGCTGTCAGAAGATGCTGTGGAGTGAGCGTGGACGGTCGCGCATTTTGAGGCTTGCTAGCACTATGAACTATAACTGACATTCAGTGCCATGTCTCATTATTTTGGTGATGGGGTTGCCAAGGACGTGCATGCGTCTTGGCGTCGGTCTGTCTGGTGACCCGAAGATCGAGGGCAGTGGCATCCCTGAGTGTGTGTCGGTCCTCCAAGGGTTGAAGAATCTGGCCGCTGGTCGTGCAGTGGATGAAGCCGAAAGTGCTGTGGATGCGGCCAAAGCAACGGTCACAGAGCACAAGCTGGTCGTTGAGGGGGGAGACGACGAGTCTGGGATCTTGGCTGACGACAGCACGATGGAGGCCCCACTGGTGGAGAAGGATCCTGTTCTTGAAAAAGCTGAGGAGCTCGGCTTGTCGGTCCGCTCCAACATTCATCTGTTTCATGACATGAAGACCTTTGGTGATGGCTTCGTCGGTCTATGCCGGGCGACGACCCGTGGCGGCATTTACATCGATGAGGCCACGTCGAAGGCCAAGATCATTTTGGGGGACATGGCAGAGTTGTGGAAGGTCGTCACGTCGGTCGTAGATCGGCAATACGTGTCCATGGGCATCTTCTGTGGAAAGCGCCACGACTTAGTGACGTTGGTCGTGAACCTTGGATGGCACAGAGTTCTTTCTAGACTTGTCGGTCGACTGCTGTGCTCAGCTTTGCTTCGGCTCAAGTCCAAAACGGCCGGTCGACCTTCATGGGTCGAATCAGTAACAAAAGCCTCGGGCTGAAGAGGGTGGCAGGGCCCTATGCCCGTTACTGTGCGACGGTCGCCAGGACAGGGACGGTCGACCCTCCATTGAAGCGCCTTCGAGTCAAAACCTTCTTGAAAAACTTAGATCAGAGCCGGTCGCGATGGAAGCAGATGTCAAAAAAGGAGAAACAACCCTTTGTGGACGCGGCGGTCAAGGATCACAGAAAGCACAACGCCCTCAAGAGGGAGCTCGCTCATCCTCCAGTGGAAGTCGACTCGCCGGTCAGAGACCCGAAGCCTGAGAATGATAGTGACCAGCAGCCACCGGTCGATGAGAACCTCGTCAATGAATTGAGGTTCTCCTTTGAAGGCATGGCACTTTCCAGTCGGTCGACCCTGGGACAAGGCGCCCATGGCACAGTTTACCGCTGTGAAAACTTGATGGGAACGGAGTTCGCAGTGAAGCATCTTGGCTATTCATTTTATTATTAAGGTTCATGCGATTGAACAATCATGAATGAATGAACGAATGATGTCTTTGTCGACTTTGGGTTTAGTGCTGCATCTTGTCATGTCGAGGTTGCCGGTCGGCAGCAGGGACGTGAAGAGGGAGCTAGACGTTCTCCTCAGTCTACGCCACCCAGCCATCCTGCATTGTTATGGGCCAGTCATGTCGGTCGACGGAGGTCTCGTGGGCCTTCTTTTGGAGTATGTGCCGGTGACATTGGACGCTTGGCTGAAGACGCAGCCCAAGGCCGCAAAGTGCCCACACAAATGGCATCTGATGGTCGATCTTGCACATGGACTCCAGTATCTGCACTGTCACAAGCTTGTGCACTGTGATGTGAAGCCACAGAACATACTTGTCGGTCCTGCCCCCCATGTTCGAGCCCGCTGGGCAGACTTCGGCCTCACTGAGCCGGTCGGGA